CTTCTAGGATTTAACTTCTCTTGGAAGGTGCTTTCCTGGCTTTCTTCTCAGCGTCCAGTGTCTTCAGGGCAACTGTTATATTCCTTTTTTGTGTGTAAAGAATCGTGATTTGATTTGTGTATTTTTTGGTCTTATGTATGTTTAATTCCATCATCTAGTTTGTAAGGAATGCCTGAATTATGCGGGCCTTTAATTTGGCAACCTTGATGCTTTTATTCTTATAAAGTTCTAATATACATTTTCGAAAGGACAGTGGTGGCAACAACAAGAACATTGGGCTTAATTTTTGTAATCGTTTAAACTGAGAATGAAACTAGGAGCGGCCATTGGTTTTGTTGGAGTTTTGGCTTTGAAGTTAGATCATCCATGGAATCATCTCTGTTTCTTGTTTCTCAACAACGTGAGGATCTTCCTCAGCAACTTGAAGGGGTGCCTTTATTTAATTTTACCAATAATTGGGTTGCTGGTGACACAGCATATCTCCAGATTGCAAAGAAAGTTTTTAAGTCTTAGGAGCCATCAGTTTCCCCCTACGTCTGCAGCCTGGAGTGGAGAAGTAGGTAAACATTTATACTAATCCTGAATTAACAACTTCATTGCTTGATTTAAAAGAACAACAGAGCAAATCACCTGTTATTATTGCTTTTCAGGTTGAAGATGTCTCATCATCTTCAGGCACTCATCTTGCAAAGGGAAAATCTAGTATGTCTTCTCATCTACCTCAGCAACAATTTCCACTGTGTCCTTTCTTTTTCTGTGTATGTAGTGAAATGTGTGTTTAGATGGCTTGTAACTTTTGTTTTATATCATCTACAAGTTTGTAATGACTTGCTTGAAACTGAGATGCAACCTGAATTCTATAGGTTTTTCATTTTTTAATGGATTTTGTAGGCTTTAATTCAACAAATTTTAATGCAATTAATACAAGTTTCTTTTACATTGTTCATTTTCTATTTTAATTGAATTCTCAATTCCCTTGTCAAAAATGTTGACATTTACATTAGAGAGACACATAAAAGTGTCTGTGTAAACTATAATTCAAAATTTTACTGTTAATATAAATATTTTATTTTTAAATAATCAAATGGTCAATAAAAATCCATATGCAAAAATTCTTGAATACAGTTATACTAACTCCTCACATGAAAATTTTCATCAGACTCGACATCGAGTGCCCCTGCATTTCCTTTTCCCAAAATGTAACCTGTTAAAAAAAAAAAAATTCCATGTACGGTTTTTTTTTTCTTCAATATGGAATGTGATTGTGAGGCGGAGAGTAAAAATAAGTATAGTAAAAAAATGGAGTGGGTTCGGGCATTAGGTGTAGAACCTGACGTGGTTGATTAAAGACGTCGAAGCAATTCCCGTGTTCCTCTCAGTCTCAGCAGCCGTTGTTTCCTCTCAAAAGTGACGGAAGTGGAGGGCCCGAGATTCAAGTCGTCAATCAAACGGGTAGTTTCTTTTTTCTCTTCCCCTGTTTCTTTCATCCCCAGAAATCACAAAACTAGATAATCCCTTATGTTTTCTGTGAATAATTCAATAAATATTCTATACACTCATGCGGTTTCAACTTTTTTCTTTCAGGTTTTTGTGTTTAAAGTGCTGCTGGTTCGCATTAAAGGTTAGTTCTTGCTTTCTCTGTGAAGTGGGTATGTTATGTGCAAGTTTAATATTTCAATGGAAACAACAGTGCAAGCAATTTCTGTATGTCTTTGTTTGTTACTCTTTCCAAATCCTTCTCCATCCCTTCTAAGATTCAAACTTGTGACCTCCAACTTGGAGACCCAAGCTCTTAACCACAAGGTTCTGCCCTAGGGGACTGGAGTCAAGGTATCACGAAAGGGGCAAATATAATGCTTCTGACCACTTTCACATAAGAAAGTTATAATGAATTCTTTTCCTAACTTGTCTTAGAGAAAGCGGCTAATTCAGTAGATCAATAGCAAAATAGCCTTCTCTTCCTAACCTCTGTATTGCAACATCTACAAACCTTACAATGAAGTGTTTATTTAATCTGAACAGGTCCCATTGGTGGTCCCTAATCATTTTTTGACAGCCTTCAGCAGTTTGACCTTAGCGGCTTAGCCACTAAATGCTATAATTGGGTGTTTCTCTTTCTTTTCTTGGTTAGATTCCCTTCCTATCACATTGAGAGAGTGTTATGAAAGCTTTAAGCTTTATGACCTTTGGTAGTAATGATTTTATGGGATGTTCGTTGGACTGTTCCACTGTTTTTGCTTTATTTTCCTTTAGAAGAATCGAGTGCACATTATTAAGTCCTACAATCCAATATCTTTATGAAAATATACATACCTACAGGAGAAACAAGGAATCTGGAGAAAATTCCAACTTATGGTGGTCACCAAGTTGTCATTATATACATAGTCTACTTACAATAAATTAATTGGATTCTTTCTTTACTTGTGGTGATCTCGAAGTTGTCCATTCATGTATACATGTTCCACCTACAATAAATTCCTTTCTTATTGATCTTAACAACTCAATGGCTTTCACGTTAAAATCTGGAGAAGATATCATAGATGGTGTACCTACAATAAATTAATGCATCCTTTTAATTCTTTTATGTTACCAGCTGACATTATTGTTCAATCTATATGTTCCATTTTAGCTATTAATATATACAAGCAGAAAGGTTTTAAAATTTAGATGGCAGAACCAAAAGGCATGGGCCATTTTCGCCTGATAGATTTCATTTTTGTTCAGCTGAATTAATCCTGATTTTGTTCTTATCACTCTAAATGAATATATAATTGTTTTGGCTAAACATAAATTTCATTTTTCTTTTAGGTTTTTGATTTAAGGAGCTCCTGCTCATAAATCAAAGGTCAAGTCTTGTTTTGTGTTACATGGATGCTTCCAAGAGAGGAAACTAAAATTTCCAAAGTTGATTAATTCAATTCTGTCTTAATTAACTTCTGTTTTCTAGCTTGAGAGAGACCAGAGCAGGTAAGTCAACAAGTCAATGGTCTTCCATTTGTTTTAAGTTGACTTCTGCGTGTTCCACACTCCTAGTTATTTGTATTGTTGAATTGTGCTATCAAACTATCTGGCCCAGTGTACCTTTCTGTTAAAATTTTCCAAACTGGCATCTTCCTTAGCTTAGACTGTCATAGATTCATAACTTCTTTTATGCTAAACACATAAAAAGATAGGAATTAAAGGGTTCTTTTAATAATATAGGACAAATAAGTAAATTTTTGTAACACAATTATAGTCCAAATAATTACATTCATCCCTAATTTCAACATAACCATTTCACACAATCGTGTTGCATTACTTCTCTGAAAATAAGAGAGTAAATCACCTTGGGGGGTTGTTTTAAGTTTCGGTATGCTTATTCACACTTCGAGGACTCAACTTCTTGATTCTGTCTTGCTGGTCCAGTGATAATAACAAATAACAAATCAATGTCTGTTTGTGTGGTTTGCATCTTCTATTGTAAGAAGAGCTAACTGCAGCTTGCTATGAAACCAGATAGGAGTACAAACTGAATTCTGATTTATGCGTGCTAAATTATAATTTATGTGTGTTTTATTCTATCATTTTGGTATTTTGCCTGTTTGATTCCAGCATTTAGTTTGTAAGGAATGAAGGACAAGCTAGTTGCAACAGAAATAAGACTGAAATCTAAATTCTGCAAGTTTAATGCTCTTATTCTTATTGGCATGTTTAGTTGATAGAATTGTTATTCCTTAATCAAATTATAAAAATGAGATAAATTAGATAGAAATAATGCTAGTAATTTTGTTCCTTTTTTTAAGGTTTTGGGTTTAAGGGGCTCCTGCTTATTATAAGTAAAATCAAAGGTCAGTCTTCTTTTCTCTGTTGCATTCTCAATAACTTTAATAAGATGCTTCCAGGAAACAAGATTTCCAAAGTTGGTTAGTTGACTTGTGTTTCCACGAGGGACCGGAGTAGGTAATTAAGTTAACAAGTCAATGGTATTCCATTTCTTTCACTTGAGCGTGTTCTAACTTCCACACACATTTTTTTGCATCTATTGTTGAATCGTGAAGATCCACCTTGCCTTTTTGTTAAAATTTGTTAAACTGGTATCTTCCTTTAATCTTCACCCAACCCAACTCTAAATTAATGCCTTCTCCTTATTATTTCTCTGATGTTCCCCGCAGTTATATGTAAGTAGAGCAGAATGGTTTTGAGAACTGAGCAGACACCACCACAAAAGTTTAAATTTCCTTGACACAGTCTTCAGTTTGGTTGAGCTTCATCTTCATTTTGTTCTTTTCACTTTCAAAAATCATGGTTTTGGGTATAGGGTCCTTCTAATTAATTATCACAGGATGTCAAGTAAAAGATCACATAAATTATCCTTCTCAAACAGCATTATTTGGGCAACGTTTAGTCTCCATGGTTTTATTTTCTTTGAAAGAACCCTAAATAATTAGTCTTGTCTTGATGAGATTTTTATTTGTACCAATTGCATCACATGTTTGGTATCAACCTTATCTTTGATGGAATTTGAAAATGAACTTCACATTTTCAAATGGACCAAATATTTAAATTTACTAAAACACTCCTTAAATTTAAACTTCGTTACCCTTACTTTCTAAATACTAATAAGGATACCTTAGAGGAAAGCTATTATTAGATTTAAGTGTAGTGAAATGAACCCGCCAACATACATGAATTCTCTCACGTTATTTCTCTCCTTCCATCTGCGTTCCTTACAATGGTTGCACACCATTCGCTACACCAACAAAATCACATGAAAGTAATTCTTGCAAATGGAAAAGATGAGAAATTAAATAAATAATAAAAAAAAGACTATCTTAGCTTTAAATTTTTGTTTATGCTAAACATAAAAAAAAAAAAATGAATGAAAAAGAAAAAAAACTTAAAATTGTAGGGTGCGTTGAATCTTAATTAAAATAATTGAATGTAGATTGTAGGGTGCATTGAATCATAGTCAAAATAATTTACCCAAGGGTTCAACATAATCATTTCACGCAAATCATATTACCTATACTGGTATCTTCCTTAAATCTTCTCCTTCTACCTACAGTAAATTAATATTCTTTGATGTGCCCTT